CCCTAACTCGCCGTTGGTCGGCGCTGGCTGTCGCGCGTGGGACATCGAAACTGTATGGCAAGCATAGCGGCTGTCCCATCCTTTATTGTATATGATCTTTGATGCTACTTCGAAAAAGTCATGTTTTATTTGAGCTATATATGATATCCGTACGGCTAACTGTGACGACATTTCGTCTGTGTGTCTTCGCCACATATACTGTATCATTGCCATGAATCCTATACACAGAGTAGAAAATATCACTGTCCTACACAAATTTCAAGTTTCATGCTAAAGAAATCAATAAAAATTTGTCACATATTATAATTAAATTCAATTTGATTAAGCGTTGGATATAGCTGCATATGTCGTGCGGGACATATATATCGCCACTCGGTGGTGAATTTGTTATAAATTTTATTAATGTTAGGTCAGTTAGGGCCCCCAGTGATTATTAAAGAGATGCATCGGGAATCAATTTTCACATCAAGCTACTGCGCCGAATTATTTTAAACATATAACCTTTTATTTAGCAAAATGTTATTTTATTTCGTAGATACTATACATGCGCAAATACATCGTTGTCATCATCATCATTATCAACAGCAGCAGAAGCAGCGGCAACAGCAGCAGAAACAGCAGTAACAGCAGCAGCAACAGCAGCAGGAGCAGCAACAGCAGCAGCAGATGCAGCAGCAGATGCAGCAGCAGCAAGAACAACAGCAACGTCAGTGGCGGCAGCAGCAGCAGTAGTAGCAACATCAGTAGGAGTAGCAGCAGCAGCAGCAGTAGCAACAGCAGCAGCAGCAGCAGCAGCAGCAGCAGCAGCAGCAACAGCAGCAACAGCAGCAATAGCAGCAGCAGCAGCAGTAGCAGCAGCAGCAGTAGTAGTAACAGCAGCAGCAGTAGCAGCAGCAGTACGTAGTAGCAACAGCATCATTATTATTCATAATTATTGCGGGTAGGGAACGCTTTCAAGTAATTAGAGAGGGCATACAGGCCCTAGTAACCTAAACTCGGCATGGCGTGGGTGGCTGAAGTGTTGGCGACCGGGTAGCATGGTTGCGCATGGGCACCCCTACCCCGCCACCCTCCGCCTGTCCGCTCTGTCGCTGTTGTATGCGTGTGACACACATTTAGCTTATAGTAGAACGAAGTTTTCTACACACACATAGTTCATCCGCGTTGAATCACGCTGTTGATTGCTTTGGTTCTCAGATATAACACTATATCACGTGTTACACGTTTATTTATTTCTCACACAATCAGAGCGTTACGTGCTGCTACAATAATAGTAGGACACGTCAAAATACCTACAAGTCGTGTATGATAAATCGTGGAACAATAAAAAGACAATTGTCTTTCTAGAGTATAACTGTGGGCAGGTGACGATTAAGAGAAAACTCCCGTGGATAAAATAGACCTACTCAGTGGTACAGGCCAAAAAATCTGTATGTTTATCTTATAGAAGTGGGCGGCCGTGTTTCGGCTATGAAACGGGACGTTTCGGAACAAGTAACGTGTGCTTGCTGCATCATAAAGCCGTAAAAAGAAGCAAGGGTAAGCGTAAAGTAACAAATAAAAGTAGACCGCCAACGATAACGGCGGCGATGACGGCGACGACAGCGACGGCAACAAGTTGATGATCATGACGACGACGGCGACGACGGCGACGGCAACAAGATGATGATAATGACGACGACGACGACGACGGCGACGACAGCGACGGCAACAAGATGATGATAATGACGACGACGACGACGGCAACAAGACGATGACGACGACGACGAAGACGGCAACAAGACGACGACGACGACGACGACAACGGCGACGACAGCGACGGCAACAAGATCATGATGACGACGACGACGACGACGATGGCAACAGGACGATGACGACGACGACGGCAACAAGACGATAACGACGGCGACGGCGATGACGACGATGCCGGCGTCGACGGTGACGGCAACAAGACGATGACGATGATTCTATTTTTAAATGGGCCTATATATCTCGCGCTATCGCGAGATGGTCGATATTCGCAAGTAATGGCGGCGGTAATCAAAACGAATATTCAAAAATTCGAATCGTGCGTGCATGTGTTGGTGAATATAGCTAAGTACGAAGGTTCTAAGACATGTTAGCGTTACTCTAGACAGTTGCTGTTACTCAAGCAATAACGGTAAGTATAGTAAAAGTGGGGAAAACACGAGACTGGTTAGAAATTATGTTCGAAATAAAGGCTTTTTAAGGGTCTCTCCCATAGTGTTATATAATGTTCTATGGTGTATGTTGTATGGTATGTATGGTGTATGGTGTATGGTTTTATGTTATATGATGTCATATGGTGTTATATGATATCTATGGTATCTCCTCAATGGCTCTAACAATCTCTATGTTAAGTCTGTGTTAAGTCTCTATGTTGAGTGTCAATGTTTAATCAGGCCGGTGCAGCAGTAAGTACCGGTATTCTAACCTTGCCGACCCAGCGTTACTCCCACCCCGTGCGATCACAGAGTTGCCTCGACCAGGCGAGTTCTTACTGTACATACAGACACGGGAATACACGCACGCGCAATGCACGCACGCACGCACGCACGCACGCACGCACGCGCACAATACACACGCGCTTGTTGTCGCGCCCACATAGGCGTTCGCTCACACGCGTTCACACATGCACGCGCGCGCGCGTGCACGCACACAACGCCCCGTGTAAACGCCTAACGAATCGGAAACCATACGATGGAATATATATATATAACTATATATATATATATATATATATATATATATAGGCCTACACACACACACGACCACGCACACACACACACACCACACACACACACACACACACACACACCACACACACACACACACAACACACAAAACACACACACACACACACACACACACACACACACACATATATATATATATATATTTATATCGCGTATGTACATACACAATATTAGCCAGGTTAATGACGCGACCTCAATTAATAACACGTCATGCGTGTGATGAGATGACGCGACATCGACGCGTGCCGGCGACAGCGACGACTACGATGATGATTGACGACTTGGCGACGATTATCG